GACCCTGCACACTGCTGAGGGCCCCTACACCTTCCTGGGGACCCTGCACACGCCCTGGGAGCCCAGGACACTGCTGGGGACCCTGCACGCTGCCCAGGGGACCTTGCATAAAGCCAGGGACCCTCCAGAGTGCCCGGGGTCACTGCACATGGCAGGGGGACACTGCACCCTGCCCGGGGTCACTGCACATGGCAGGGGGACACTGCACCCTGCCCGGGGTCACTGCACAATGCCCAGGGACCCCCCACGTGCTGCTGGCAACCTCAGACACTCCCTGGGGACACTGCATGTTGCCCCAAGGTCTTTACACAATGCCAAGAACCCTCTGCACTGCCTGGGGACCCCAAACACTGCTGGAAACCTTGGACAACTCCCTGGGGACACTGCACACTCCTAGGGAACTGGCAGGCTGCCTGGGACACTGCACACTGCTGGGGGCCCCAAACGCTGCCTGGGCACCCCTAACACTGCTGGGGACCCCAAACACTGCCTGAGAACCTCAAACACTCCTGGGGACCCTAAACACTGCTGAGGACTCCCCACATTGCCTGGAGACCCCAGACACTCCTGGGAACCTTCCACGCTGCCCCTGCAGGCTCTCCCCCAAAGCTGTACATGCCATCACCCCCCTCCAGGTCCACACAGGCAGACAAAGCTCCCAGTTCCAAGCCCAGATCCTGCTCTCCCGGGGCTGATCCCGGGTGCTGGGCTCCCCCATAGCAGTGGGGTGAAGCTCAGAGCCACCGAGGTCATTTGTCCCACGTCCCTGTCCCTGTTCAGGGCAGTGCCAGGCAGGGCCATGGGACGAACAACCCCCCGGGCCCAGCTCCCGCCCCCACACACAGAGATCACACGTGGAAAAAAAAAAAAAAAAAAAAAAAGTCTTTTCTGTTTGGATTTTTTTTTTGAGGCTTTTTTTTTTTTAACAGAAGTTTTATGGTTATATGCAAATTAGTTCATTAAATGATTTGCATAAAATGTTCGCACGTCAGCGACTAAGTGTTCCTAACTCCCCACCCCCCGAAAGGTAGTAAATCCTACTCG